TCATAGGCCACGATGGAACCAGATCTTCATTGAAATCTAGTTTAAAACACGAAAATTTAAAAACACAATTCCACATACACACGCATGTTACTTGAAACTGTGTAAACGGTCAAGTGAGACGGACTGTCTGTCTTACTTGACTAACTATAACTGTTAGTGGAAGTGGAAAAAAGTCCCCAAATCTAAAAAAAAGCATTAACAACCAATCTCTAGGCGACAAAAATGAGCAAAAGAATTTTGGCAAAAAAAAATTACTTGAATCAAAAAAAAAAAAAATTTATCTCATTTTATTTAAAACGAGCAAAATTTGTTTTTGTTTTTTATATTAAAAAAAATAAAATTTATTAAAAAAAAAACACCAAGCCGGTTATAGTTGAAATAATTTAGCATAATTTCGGTTTAAAATATCTTCAAAACTCATCTTTTAGCAAACGTTGGTATTGTACTTTTATATTTAACTTGATCTTAACTTAAAAAAATAAATACAACAAAATGAAATATAAAGGTTTTATAAGAAGTAATATAAAAAAAATATTTAAACAAAATATTTTTCAATATTTTATATGGATGAAAGCGACTTGTTGTTGTCCTATTAGCTGGAGATCTTTTGTAAAGTTTGAAGTGTCTAATTGATGACATGATGACATGTTAATGGAATACTGCAAAGTTTTCTTGAAGGCCTTATAAAAAATATTGATGCAATTTTATGGCGCTCCCTAAAAGTTAAATATTATTTACAATAAGTTTAAACCTTTAGATTCAATTTTTGTAAAAGAAACAATTTATCGTTTAAATGGCGAATTATCGATTTCTTTTGTAAAAGATCCAAACTTGTAGTCTATAGTATATATAGTCTCTAGTATATAGACTAGACTATAGACTAGACTATAGCCTAGTCTATAGTCTAGTCTATAGTCTAGTCTATAGTCTAGTCTAGTCTATAGTCTAGTCTAGTCTATAGTCTAGTCTAGTCTATAGTCTAGTCTAGTCTAGTCTAGTCTAGTCTAGTCTAGTCTAGTCTAGGTCTAGTCTAGTCTAGTCTATAGTCTAGTCTAGTCTAGTCTATAGTCTAGTCTAGTCTAGTCTATAGTCTAGTCTATAGTCTAGTCTAGCTAGTCTAGTCTAGTCTATAGTCTAGTCTATAGTCTAGTCTATAGTCTAGTCTATAGTCTAGTCTATAGTCTAGTCTATAGTCTAGTCTATAGTCTAGTCTATAGTCTAGTCTATAGTCTAGTCTATAGTCTAGTCTATAGTCTAGTCTATAGTCTAGTCTATAGTCTAGTCTATAGTCTAGTCTATAGTCTAGTCTAGTCTAGTCCTAGTCTAGTCTATAGTCTAGTCTATAGTCTAGTCTATAGTCTAGTCTATAGTCTAGTCTCTAGTCTAGTCTCTAGTCTAGTCTATAGTCTAGTCTAGTCTATAGTCTAGTCTATAGTCTAGTCTATAGTCTAGTCTAGTCTATAGTCTAGTCTATAGTCTAGTCTATAGTCTAGTCTATAGTCTAGTCTATAGTCTAGTCTATAGTCTAGTCTATAGTCTAGTCTATAGTCTAGTCTATAGTCTAGCCTATAGTCTAGTCTATAGTCTAGTCTATAGTCTAGTCTATAGTCTAGTCTAAAGTCCAGTCTATAGTCTAGTCTATAGTCTAGTTTATAGTCTAGTCTATAGTCTAGTCTATAGTCTAGTCTATAGTCTAGTCTATAGTCTAGTCTATAGTCTAGTCTATAGTCTAGTCTATAGTCTAGTCTATAGTCTAGCCTATAGTCTAGTCTATAGTCTAGTCTATAGTCTAGTCTATAGTCTAGCCTATAGTCTAGTCTATAGTCTAGTCTATAGTCTAGTCTATAGTCTAGTCTATAGTCTAGTCTATAGTCTAGTCTATAGTCTAGTCTATAGTCTAGTCTATAGTCTAGTCTATAGTCTAGCCTATAGTCTAGTCTATAGTCTAGTCTATAGTCTAGTCTATAGTCTAGTCTAAAGTCCAGTCTATAGTCTAGTCTATAGTCTAGTCTATAGTCTAGTCTATAGTCTAGTCTATAGTCTAGCTATAGTCTAGTCTATAGTCTAGTCTATAGTCTAGTCTATAGTCTAGTCTGTAGTCTAGTCCATAGTCTCGTCTATAGTCTAGTCTATAGTCTCGTCTATAGTCTAGTCTATATTCTAGTCTATATTCTAGTCTATAGTCTAGTCCTATAGTCTCGTCTATAGTCTAGTCTATAGTCTAGTCTATAGTCTAGTCTATAGTCTAGCCTATAGTCTAGTCTATAGTCTAGTCTATAGTCTAGTCTATAGTCTAGTCTGTAGTCTAGTCTATAGTCTAGTCTATAGTCTAGTCTATAGTTTAGTCTATAGTCTAGTCTATAGTCTAGTCTATAGTCTAGTCTATAGTCTAGTCTTTAGTCTAGTCTTAGTCTAGTCTATAGTCTCGTCTATAGTCTAGTCTATAGTCTCGTCTATAGTCTAGTCTATATTCTAGTCTATAGTCTAGCTATAGTCTAGTCTATAGTCTAGTCTATAGTCTAGTCTATAGTCTAGTCTAGTATAGTCTCTAGTCTCTAGTCTAGTCTATAGTCTAGTCTCTAGTCTAGTCTATAGTCTAGTCTAGTCTAGTCTAGTCTATAGTCTAGTCACTATAGTCTAGTCTATAGTCTAGTCTATAGTCCTAGTCTATAGTCTAGTCTATAGTCTAGTCTAGTCTATCTATAGTCTAGTCTATAGTCTAGTCTATAGTCTAGTCTATAGTCTAGTCCTATAGTCTAGTCTATAGTCTAGTCTATAGTCTAGTCTATAGTCTAGTCTATAGTCTAGCTATAGTCTAGTCTATAGTCTAGTCTAGAGTCTATAGTCTAGTCTATAGTCTAGTCTATAGTCTATCTATAGTCTAGTCTAAGTCAGTCTATAGTCTAGTCTAAGTCTAGTCTATAGTCTAGTCTATGTCTAGTCTATAGTCTAGTCTATAGTCTAGTCTATAGTCTAGTCTATAGTCTAGTCTATAGTCTGTCTATAGTCTAGTCTATAGTCTAGTCTATAGTCTAGTCTATAGTCTAGTCTAGAGTCTAGTCTATAGTCTAGTCTATAGTCTAGTCTATAGTCTTAGTCTATAGTCTAGTCTATAGTCTAGTCTATAGTCTAGTCTATATGTCTATCTATAGTCTAGTCTATAGTCTAGTCTATATTCTAGTCTATAGTCTAGTCTATAGTCTAGTCTATAGTCTAGTCTATAGTCTAGTCTATAGTCTAGTCTATAGTCTAGTCTATAGTCTAGTCTATATTCTAGTCTATAGTCTAGTCTATAGTCTAGTCTATAGTCTCGTCTATAGTCTAGTCTATAGTCTAGTCTATAGTCTAGTCTATAGTCTAGTCTATAGTCTAGTCTGTAGTCTAGTCCATAGTCTAGTCTATAGTCTAGTCTATAGTCTAGTCTATAGTCTAGTCTATATTCTAGTCTATAGTCTAGTCTATAGTCTCGTCTATAGTCTAGTCTATAGTCTAGTCTATAGTCTAGTCTATAGTCTAGTCTATAGTCTAGTCTATAGTCTAGTCTATAGTCTAGTCTATAGTCTAGTCTATAGTCTAGTCTATAGTCTAGTCTATAGTCTAGTCTATAGTCTAGTCTATAGTCTAGTCTATAGTCTAGTCTATAGTCTAGTCTATAGTCTAGTCTATAGTCTAGTCTATAGTCTAGTCTATAGTCTAGTCTATAGTCTAGTCTATAGTCTAGTCTATAGTCTAGTCTATAGTCTAGTCTATAGTCTAGTCTATAGTCTAGTCTATAGTCTAGTCTATAGTCTAGTCTATAGTCTAGTCTATAGTCTAGTCTATAGTCTAGTCTATAGTCTAGTCTATAGTCTAGTCTATAGTCTAGTCTATAGTCTAGTCTATAGTCTAGTCTATAGTCTAGTCTATAGTCTAGTCTATAGTCTAGTCTATAGTCTAGTCTATAGTCTAGTCTATAGTCTAGTCTATAGTCTAGTCTATAGTCTAGTCTGTAGTCTAGTCCATAGTCTAGTCTATGTCTAGTCTATAGTCTAGTCTATAGTCTAGTCTATAGTCTAGTCTATAGTCTAGTCTATAGTCTAGTCTATAGTCTAGTCTATAGTCTAGTCTATAGTCTAGTCTATAGTCTAGTCTATAGTGTAGTCTATAGTCTAGTCTATAGTCTTGTCTATAGTGTAGTCTATAGTGTATTCTATAGTCTAATCTATAATTTAGTCTATAGTCTAGTCTATAGTATAGTCTATAGTCTAGTCTATAGTCTAGTCTATAGTCTAGTCTATAGTCTAATCTATAGTCTAGTATATTGCCTAGCCTATATTCTAGTATAAAGTCTGGTCTTTATAGTCTATTTTGTCTATTGTTTAGTCTATAATTCAGTCTATTGTCTAGTATTAAGTCTTAACTACATTCTACCGCATAGTATAATCCACTGGCTATTGCCATTATTAAGGAAGATAACACTTAAATTTACTTCAATTAAGTGAAGTCTTTAACACCCCTGATGCTTACAACTTAATTGTTACAAGCCCTAAAAGAAACCAATGATATCATAATGTGTCTTTAAGCATAAAAATGCGTTAATACATAGCGTTTAGATCACATTAAACAGCAAAGACAACAACAGCTGGTACTATATCCAGACAAGATAAGCAAGTTGTATCTTATAGATGTGTGTGAGCATGTGTTTCTGCTAGCCAACTGAAAATACACAGGCAACTAGCAAAGCCAGCTATTGATAGCTTTTTTTGAATTTAGCAGATTGTTTTATAGAAGAAGCTTTGTTGTGTTGTTTTTTTTTTAAGAAGCCAGCACCACAACAACAAGAAGAAAAAAAGATGCTACTTACTCTTCTGGACAAGTGTGATCTGAACTGATGAGCAAAAGAAGAGAGCAAGAGCGTTTCAGACAAATGAAATAAATCTACAGCAACAATATACAAGCGATATATAGAGATTTTGCGCGTTTAATGTTGATCTTCTTCAATCGGTCAAAGTGTCTTTCTTAGCTAGCGCCACAGTTGTCGCCCAAGCTTAAAACCAAAAACTTACTCGTCACATTTGCTAGGGGTATATATAGAAAATCTATAAGTTTTAAATGTTTAGTTGGTAACCCACACTCGAACTTATAAAAAGTGCAAACCAACAGAAGAGGAAACTCATTCGCTTCTTCTCCTACAACACATTTAGATTAAAAGCGTTTCTGTTTCTGCGTTTTGTTTTTTTTTCTTCTTAAATTCTTGGGATATTTGCCTGCTTGTGATTGCTGCAGCTGTTTGTGTGTTTGAAAAGAATATTGAATCGTACAAATTCAATTGGCCATATTGAATTTTGATACGATTTTACAAGAAAGTCATTAAAGGATTAATTTAATAAACAAAAAAACTCAAGGATTATTTTTGTTTAAGAAATATTAATTTCGTTTAAATTTGTGCTCAAAAATGGTAATAATAAAATATTAGAAAAAAAAAATGAATAAAAATTTAAATGCAAGTGATTATAAACAATTATGAACTGAAACTGAAAAAATTTAAAAATATTTAAAAACCTTTAAAATGAAAATAAACTAAAGACTGTTTTGTGATTAGCAAAGAAAATCAATATTGATTTACAAATAATATTCAAAATATGTCTCTAACTACTGTGCAAACTTATGTTGACATTTAAAAAAACTACGAATAAAAATTATTTAAACAACAGCTACAACAACAACATGAAAACAATATTATTTTATCTTTACAACAAAATGTTTTTATAGCAAACAAATAATTACAACAACATTTGTTAAATCATTGAAATTATTTTGTATAAAAAAAAAATCAATCATTTAGCAATTTTTCCAAACGAACCCAAAAAAAAAAAAAAAAATCGTAAAAAGAAAAATAAATCATTAGATTCAACAGATCATGATGATGAACACGAATTAATGTAAACTTTGCTAAAAGTGGTTTTTATTAAATTTTCCAAAGTGTTTAAAATTTGAAAATTGTTGTGCAAATTATATTTTGCAAATTATTTAAGTGCTTATTTATCGATTGAGAAGTTATAAAAAAAATATATAAAAATAAAAAAACAACTTTATAAAATAATAATGATAATTTTGAGAAATTTTAAAAATTTTTATACAGCATTTGTTCTCAGTTCAAAATGCCAACACAAACTTGCTGATCATGAACTCAACACAGAATTTACAAAAAAAAAAAAATTAAGAAAAATTACATAAAAAAATATTTTAAATATTTTATAATTTTTTTTTAAATTTGTGACGTATTAAAATGTTTAATTCTTTTGAAGTACAAAAAATTTCAATTTACCATTTTTGATATGCAAGATTGAAAATGATAAAATATACACTGAGCAAAAACAGCTGTTATTAGTCAACTATGGATTTATATTTTTAATTACATTGGAGTTATTTGGCAAAAGTTAGAATTATCTAATAACATACGTTTATGGCCTCTTGACTATAAAAAGTCTAGAAAAACATTGTTTTACACAGATGCATTTGACTTGATTTCTAAACTTTTTCGTTTAAAAACGAAATTAAAATTGTCAAATTTTCTTCCCAATATTCTTCAAAAATGGAGGAGAAAAGACCGCCATCACTCAACTGATAATTTCAGTTCTTTCCAAATATTAACTTTCCAAAATTAAAATCAGAACCTAAATTGCTGCATTCGATAACGATCGAAAGGAGACCCTCGTTTTCTTTCTTTAAGTTGATCGATATACATATAACTGCTGCCGAAATCCTTGCAGAAATACTGAATGTTCATAATTTTTCTTACCAAATGCTCTATCTAGTTCAGTTCGGTTCTAGTTCAGTTCTACTTCAATTCTAGTTCAGTTCTAGTTCAGATCTAGTTCAGTTCTAGTTCAGTTCTAGTTCAGTTCTAGTTCAGTTCTAGTTCAGTTCTAGTTCAGTTCTAGTTCAGTTCTAGTTCAGTTCTAGTTCAGTTCTAGTTCAGTTCTAGTTCAGTTCTAGTTCAGTTCTAGTTCAGTTCTAGTTCAGTTCTAGTTCAGTTCTAGTTCAGTTCTAGTTCAGTTCTAGTTCAGTTCTAGTTCAGTTCTAGTTCAGTTCTAGTTCAGTTCTAGTTCAGTTCTAGTTCAGTTCTAGTTCAGTTCTAGTTCAGTTCTAGTTCAGTTCTAGTTCAGTTCTAGTTCAGTTCTAGTTCAGTTCTAGTTCAGTTCTAGTTCAGTTCTAGTTCAGTTCTAGTTCAGTTCTAGTTCAGTTCTAGTTCAGTTCTAGTTCAGTTCTAGTTCAGTTCTAGTTCAGTTCTAGTTCAGTTCTAGTTCAGTTCTAGTTCAGTTGTAGTTCAGTTGTAGTTCAGTTGTAATTCAGTTGTAGTTCAGTTCTAGTGCAGTTGTAGTTCAGTTGTAGTTCAGTTGTAATTCAGTGGTAGTTCAGTTCTAGTTCAGTTGTAGTTCAGTTGTAATTCAGTTGTAGTTCAGTTCTAGTTCAGTTCTAGTTTAGTTATAGTTTAGTTTTAGTTTAGTTCTAGTTTAGTTATAGGTCAGTTCTGGCTCAATTCTAGTTCTGGTCTAGTTCAGTTCTAGTTAAGTTCTAGGTAAGTCCTAGTTGAGTTCTAGTTCATTTTTAGCTGGGTTCTAGTTGAGTTCTAGTTCATTTCTACCTGAGTTCTAGTTCATTTCTGTTCTAGTTCAGTTCTAGTTCAGTTCTATTTCTGTTCTGTTCTAGTTCTGTTCTAGTTCTGTTCTAGTTCTGTTCTAGTTCTGTTCTAGTTCTGTTCTAGTTCTGTTCTAGTTCTGTTCGAGTTCTGTTCTAGTTCCGTTCTAGTTCTGTTCTAGTTCAGTTCTAGTTCTGTTCTAGTTCTGTTCTAGTTCTGTTCTAGTTCTGTTCTAGTTCTGTTCTAGTTCTGTTCTAGTTCTGTTCTAATTCTGTTCTAATTCTGTTCTAATTCTGTTCTAGTTCAGTTCTAGTTCAGTTCTAGTTCAGTTCTAGTTCTGTTCTAATTCTGTTCTAGTTCTGTTCTAGTTCTGTTCTAGTTCTGTTCTAGTTCTGTTCTAGTTCTGTTCTAGTTCTGTTCTAGTTCTGTTTTAGTTCTGTTCTGTTCTAGTTCTGTTCTAGTTCTGTTCTAGTTCTGTTCTAGTTCTGTTCTAGTTCTGTTCTAGTTCTGTTCTAGTTCTGTTCTAGTTCTGTTCTAGTTCTGTTCTAGTTCTGTTCTAGTTCTGTTCTAGTTCTGTTCTAGTTCTGTTCTAGTTCTGTTCTAGTTCTGTTCAAGTTCTGTTCTAGTTCAGTTCTAGTTCTGTTCTAGTTCTGTTCTAGTTCTGTTCTAGTTCTGTTCTAGTTCTGTTCTGTTCTGTTCTGTTCTGTTCTGTTCTAGTTCTGTTCTAGTTCTGTTCTAGTTCTGTTCTAGTTCTGTTCTAGTTCTGTTCTAGTTCTGTTCTAGTTCTGTTCTAGTTCTGTTCTAGTTCTGTTCTAGTTCTGTTCTAGTTCTGTTCTAGTTCTGTCCTAGTTCTGCTCTAGTTCTGTTCTAGTTCTGTTCTAGTTCTGTTCTAGTTCAGTTCAGTTCAGTTCTAGTTCTAGTTCTAGTTCTAGTTCTGTTCTAGTTCTGTTCAAGTTCTGTTCTAGTTCTGTTCTAGTTCTGTTCTAGTTCTGTTCTAGTTCTGTTCTAGTTCTGTTCTAGTTCTGTTCTAGTTCTGTTCTAGTTCTGTTCTAGTTCTGTTCTAGTTCTGTTCTAGTTCTGTTCTAGTTCTGTTCTAGTTCTGTTCTATTCTAGTTCTGTTCTAGTTCAGTTCTAACATTATGTTTCATTATGTAAAGTTTTTAGATTAACATCACCAATCCGACATCATTACCAGTAGCTCAAATAACATTACCCCTCTGCAATTTTTTACATCCGCTTGAAACTCTTCTTCAAATATATATTAATCGTGTTTAATTCATTCAGTTAATTAATCACCTTCAGTTAAAATGTTTTGTTTCACACACCGACATAATTATGCATAATTTCTAATATAAATTAATTTATTTTCAATTACCAACTTTAATGTCCCTTTCAAATCATCTAATTTGAATATTACAGCAATTCTGTTTTTGTTACAGTGTATTTTATTTACATCTTTCTTAACATTTGACACTTGTTAATGTTTTTTACGACACTTGTCATAAGTGTTTTTTCATCTTCTTCTTCTACGTCTACTCAATTGTGTATTTGTGTAAAACAATACCCAGTAGTGTTTTAAGGGGACAGAGTTTTGCCTTCTGTCTCCAGTCGTCACTTTAGTGTGTCTAGCTATTAACCAGGTGTCACTTTAGTGTCGCTGAGTAATGTAATAAAAAGCCATTTTGAAATTTTTTCTGATCTTTACCTCAGAAAGTAGTTCTTCGAGTAGTTCACCTCTGGGTCCATTGTTCACTTGTTATCGATGTGAAATGTGCTCGATCTTTGTAGGATCATAGACTTTGATCTCTATCTAATACGGAATTAGGTTTTCAACATCCAATGATATATAAAATCACTATTTCTAGGCGGTCACCTCGAACTGCCGGGTATTTATACAAAAGTCTGTGTTGTTTTTTGATTTTTCTTTTCAGTTCGTGTGTGAGCATCTCACCTATTTTTGAGTTTTGTTAAGAGAAAAATTAATGTTGTATATATATATATATATTTTTTTTAAATTTTATCTTCATATTAAGTCTGACATTTAATTGACAGATTTAGGCAATTAGTCAAAATGTTGCTGTTTTCTCGCCTTAAAGCATCTGTACCTAGTTTGATTTTTTTTTAAATACCCAGTTTACCTTAGAATATTTTCAAAGATTTAGTTGGGTTTTAATTTTGTTAAAAAAAAACATATAGATTTTTATGAAATTTGAAAAAATGAAGAAGCAATCAAGTTCTAATTCCCACCAGACTAATAAGAGATTTTAGTTTTTTCTTTAGTATTAGAAAAAAAAAATGTTCTTTACTTTTAGACTTGCAAGTTTTTGCACGTTCTTAGGTTGTAGATTTTAAATATGGATTTTTATAGTTAAAGCTGTTTTCAATGACTTTGATGAGGTTAATTAATTACTTTAGTTTATGTTTTGGAGGATAGTTTTCTATGTAAATCGATACTTTTATTATTTTTGTAAAAATAATATAATACAAAACTTAAATCGAATTTTAATTTTGTTAGAAAATAGTTCAGAATATCTTCAAAGAAGTATTTTGTAAATACTTATACAGAAAGTCCAAACATTGCTCGGTGCACGATCGTAAATAATCGACTTTTTAAACAAACAAAATTATTATTTTAAACCTTTTTGATGCAAAAGGTCAAAGTTCAGTTATTATGTTTGAAAATTTGGGAAAAGTGTATTTTTATAAACGATTGAACTGCGCTTAGATATCTTGAAAGCTGGATGTGATGGAGGAATTCCGAGATCTGATTAGGTACAAAGGTTGCTATAGAGGTCAAACATTTTTCGAAAATGTTGCAAAATATTTTGAAAAATATGAAAAGTATAAAAAACAATTAAAATATGGTAAAGATTACAAGGTCACATATAAGGTCAAAGGTCAATTATTATAAAAATTTTCCTAAAATTTTGTAAATCTAGATTAAGATTAAATTTTTTTTTTAATTAGTGGAAAATTGTTAAATATTTTAATATAACGAAAGGTCACTGTAGAGGTTAAAGTTTAATTATTATAATGGTAAATATATTCTCCGAAAATAATGGGAAATATTTTGCTACTGTTGGGTTTATAGAAAAAAAAAACTTAAAAGAATATTAAAATAATTAAAATTCGCTAAAGATTTACAGGTCATATAGAAGAGATCAAAGGTCAAATATTGTAATGTTTGTCATTGTCACTGTATAGGTTAAATATTCTTTAAATATGTTGCAAAATATTTTGAAAATTATGAAAGGTTAAAGAAAGAATTACAATATGCTAAAGACTAAGAGGTTACAAAAGAGGTCAAAGGTTAACTACTTTAAAATTTTTTAAAAATATTTTCAAAAATTTCAGAATATAGATTAAAATTAAAAAGTTTATTGAAATAGCGAGAAAATGCTATATAGATTGGAATATAACGAAAGGTCACTGAAAAGGTTAAAGATTAATTATTACAACGATGGATGTTTTCATCGTAAATAGTGGGGGAAATATTTTGCAATTTTTGAAATTTTAGATAAGAAAACTTAAAGGAATATTAAAACAATTAAAATACGCTAAAGATTTAAAGGTCACACAGAAGAGTGCAAAGGTCAAATATTGTAATATTTGTCATTTCCTGTGCAAATATAACAAATTTTTAGAATCTATATGAAAATTTTATTAACCAATATATTAATGAATGAAACACGTGTGCAATCTTGCACATTTGCACAAATGGCTGCATTATTTAGAAGAAAACAATTAGTTTAAAATGATCAGTTCAAATATGCGATCAAATGTGTCAGTGTTGTGGAAGTAAAATCCCACACAATTTGTGACAAATTCAATGTAAAATTGAAAATGCACAGATTGCACAGTTTGCGAGGCTTTTGAACGTTTATATGAAAACTCCTATTATAAAATTTTGGTTGTAATAAATGGAAAATTTATTTAGGTTCAAAGGTCGCTGTAAGAGTCAAAAATTCTTCGAATATGTTGCAAAATATTTTGAAAATTTTAAAGGACTGTAAAGGTCAAATGTCAATTATTTTTATGGTTGATATTTTTTTCGACAATCTTGCCAAATATTTTGCAAATAATAAGAATCTAGAAGAAATTTTAAAGAAATATTTAAATAAAAAAAATTTTTTGGGAATTTAAAGGTCACAGAAGAGGTCAAAAAGCAAATATTATAATAATTGAAATATAGTTTAGAAATATTTAAAGTTCTTTAAATCTAAATGGCATTTTAAAAGTATTTTGAAATCGTGAAAAATTCCCTTAGATTTTAAAATATCAAAAGGTTGTATAGGTCAAATGTCAATTATTTTAACGATGGATATTTTTTTAAAAATTTTTTTTGCAAAATAATGTTGTATATTTGAAAGGGAAAATTTAAAGAAATATTGAAAAAATTAATTAACGATTTGAAGGGCACAGAAGAGGTCAAAGGGCAAATATTTTAAAAAGTTGTAGTTCTAGTTGTAGAAGGAATCTTAAAACTATTGAAATTCACTAAACATTTAAGGCTCTCTTTAAAGGTCAAAGTTTAGTTGCTTTAAGATTTTTAAGTTTTCTGGCAAATATTTCAAAATATATTACAATTTTAGATAATTTTGATGAAAATTTATAGGTTTAAAAAAAAAACTTTATGCTTTGGCTTAAAGCAAACATATTTTGAAACTGATTCAACCAGTGTTGTATACTTTTTTCCTTAAGTTAGGAATCTTAAAAAGTTTGGGATTGTCCAGCAAAAACTTACATAGAAAATTAAAGTGTTAAAATGCTAAAATTTATTTACACAATAGTATTTTAAGTAATGATATTTAAACGATAATGACACTGGAGGCAAGTACTTACCACGCTCGCTTACAAATATGGAGTTAGATAAGTACTTACTACAATCGCCTGCAAATAAGGTGTTAAGTAAGTAGTTTAGATTTCGAAGAGTATACGTCCAATGCGTCCACTAATAGTTTTCACAAAATAAATGTTCTAGGCTTAAAAGTAAGTACTTACATATTATATTATGTCATTACTAAACTTCTTCTAAGTAATGCAGACGGTATATAGTAGTCATTGAAAGGTATATTGTTAAGTAAGTACAAGTCATTACCATGTTGTTTCTGTGTACAACTGGGAAATCAATCATGTTTTCAATATTAACTAAGGAAGAAGTAATAATTCTCTGTTTGTTAAGGTTTTTTTGAAAACAAGAGATCGGTTCTTGAAATTTCCGATACTTTCTTTAGAATGATAAAGTTGAAAAGAAACGAAAAGAGAATAACGTTATCAAATGTAACATACCGAAGCGGTATTATCTTTAAACAATAATTTATTTTATATAGGAGAGCGAAATAAATTACATAACTGTATAGAACCCATAAGTAGCGTTAGTAGTAGTAATATCCGGCTTAAAACTAACGTTTTTAGTTATATGGGAAGTTTACTTAACTTCCGTTAAAGATGCGAAGAATTACGAAATCGGATATATAGTTCCAAAAACTGTATAAATTAAAAATTTTGAGAAACGAAACATTTCAAATGAACTGCGTAATGTGATCATTTAATGAACAAGTTTAAAATTGATTATATTTGAAATAATCTTCAAAATTTGTTAAAAACTTTTACTTTTTTTTTATTTAAATCTATAAGAAGAACAAAAAACATAAAAATACAATGATATGATTTTTCAAAAGATTTCCGGGTATTTAATTAAAAGGGTTTTAAAATTTATATATTCATTTCAATATGGTTAGCATATAAAATAGCTTTAAGCTAAAATAGCTAGAACTTAATTAGCATTAAGTTTTCTATTAAACAAAATACACAGAAAAAAAGCTATAAATTATTTATATATTTTTGAGAAGCTAAAAACAAAAGCTGTCTAAATAACAAATAAATTAAAAAAAAAAATACTAAAAATTTAATAAATTAAAGAAGATGTCCTTGAACTAATTATAATGACATAATTAATAAAGGCTGTTAAATATTTTTGATAAATATTTTTTTTTAACAAATTAAAAAAAGTGATTAAATTATAAATAATTAAACCACTAATTGAGGCTTCTTCCTTTAGCTTAAAAAAATTTATAAATTTTTTTTTTATAATTTTTTTTTTTTTGCCAAGGTAACTTAATAATTATCACTATTAATATCAATATCTTTAGCTGGGGGTTAGTATTTTTTTATAATTTTATTAACATTTACTTAATTGTATATCAAATTTCTATAAAATCTCTGCAACAAGAAGAAACCGAGAAAAAAATACAAATTAATTTTATACACAATTTAGCTAAATAATTGAGATAAACCGCGTGAAACCTTCATTTCAAAAAAAAAAAAAAATAATATATAAAAGTAAAGAAGAAGACAATAGGTTTATTAACATTGTAACCAAAGCAATAATTACAATTATAATTATTTAAAAAATTAAATATAAAAAAATTTTTGCCAAAAAAGCAAAATTTAGTTATTAATTAGTTTAAAAGATTTGGCCAGTGACAGCAAATAACAAATTGTTATAAATTTGTTAAAAACCCATAATTAACAAAAACATATTTGTTTGCACAGTAGTTGGTTAAAGAAAATTTTTAAAATATTTTTCTACAAATTATTTAACATTTTCTACTTTTTTTCTTTACAGAGGAGCGCATTTATTTTGTTGACGCTGTGCGTCATTGGTATTTATGCCGAAACTAATGATGAATTCCTTGTGGTATGCTATACTTAATAACTTTAACCTTTCTTACTACTTTTGCAGGTTTTTTGTAACTAATTTTAATTTCTTTTTTTTAAATAATATTTAGAGAAAAATTCGTGAATCCTTTGAAGGTTACAGCTATCCTCCACCTGAACAGCCATTCACTTATCCTCCACCCGTAGTTAGTACTCGTGCTCCTGTCACTACTACTCGTAAAGTAGTTGTACCCTCAACCTACTTGCCACCCACCAACAAACCACAAACACCAGCTACAACCCGTGCTACACCTAAGCCAACAACACGTGCTCCTGTGACAACACCTAAGCCCACTACCCGCGTGCCAGCTACTTATTTGCCACCCACAAATAAGCCACAAACTCCAGCTACTACACGCGCTACACCAAAGCCCACTACTCGTGCTCCAGTGACCACACCTAAGCCCACTACACGTGTGCCAGCTACTTACTTGCCACCCACCAATAAGCCCCAGACTCCTGCTACTACTCGCGCCACACCTAAGCCCACAACTCGTGCTCCAGTAACCACCCGTGCTACTCCTAAGCCTACTACTCGCGCTCCAGTTACTACACCTAAGCCTTTTGTGCCCTCAACTTACTTGCCACCCACCAATAAACCACAAACTCCAGCCACCACACGTGCTACTCCTAAGCCCACTACTCGTGCTCCAGTGACCACACGTGCTACTCCAAAACCCACTACTCGCGCTCCTGTTACAACTCCTAAGCCTTTCGTGCCATCAACTTACTTGCCACCCACCAACAAACCTCAAACTCCCGCTACTACTCGCGCCACACCTAAGCCTACTACTCGCGCTCCAGTGACCACCCGTGCTACTCCTAAGCCAACCACACGTGCTCCAGTTACTACACCCAAGCCCACAACCCGTGTGCCAGCTACTTATTTGCCTCCCACCAACAAACCTCAAACTCCCGCTACTACTCGCGCCACACCTAAGCCTACAACTCGTGCTCCAGTAACCACCCGTGCTACTCCTAAGCCTACTACACGCGCTCCAGTAACTACTCCTAAGCCTTTCGTGCCTTCAACTTATTTGCCACCCACCAACAAACCTCAAACTCCCGCTACTACTCGCGCCACACCTAAGCCTACAACTCGTGCTCCAGTAACCACCCGTGCTACTCCTAAACCCACCACACGTGCTCCAGTAACTACACCTAAGCCCACTACACGTGTACCAGCTACTTACTTGCCACCCACCAACAAGCCCCAGACTCCTGCTACTACTCGCGCTACACCAAAACCCACAACTCGTGCTCCAGTGACTACCCGTGCCACACCTAAGCCAACAACTCGTGCTCCAGTCACCACTCCCAGACCCACTCAGCGCAGTACTCCTGGACCAACCTACTTGCCTCCTGATGCTCCTGCTACTACCCGTGTCACTCCAAAGCCCACCACACGTGCTCCCGTCACAACTCCTCGTGCTACACCTAAACCCACAACACGTGCTCCAGTGACCACACCCAAGCCTACTACCCGTGTGCCTGCTACATACTTGCCACCCACCAACAAGCCACAAACTCCTGCCACCACCCGTGCTACACCAAAACCAACAACTCGTGCTCCAGTGACTACACCTAAGCCTACTACACGTGTGCCTGCTACATACTTGCCACCCACCAACAAGCCACAAACCCCAGCTACTACTCGTGCTACTCCAAAGCCCACTACCCGTGCTCCCGTAACAACTCCTCGTGCTACTACTAAGCCTACCACACGTGCTCCAGTTACTACTCCTAAGCCTTTCGTGCCATCAACTTACTTGCCTCCCACCAACAAGCCACAAACTCCTGCCACAACCCGTGCTACACCAAAACCTACCACACGTGCTCCCGTTACAACTCCTCGTGCCACTCCTAAGCCAACTACTCGTGCTCCAGTGACCACACCTAAGCCTACTACACGTGTGCCTGCTACTTACTTGCCACCCACCAACAAGCCTCAAACTCCTGCCACCACCCGTGCTACACCAAAACCCACAACTCGTGCTCCAGTGACCACACCTAAGCCTACTACACGTGTGCCTGCTACATACTTGCCACCCACCAATAAGCCACAAACTCCAGCTACTACTCGTGCTACTCCAAAGCCCACTACACGTGCTCCCGTAACAACTCCTCGTGCTACGCCTAAGCCTACAACACGTGCTCCATTCACTACACCCAGACCAGTTGTAACTACTCAAAGACCAACTGTCGGACGCACACCAGGAAGTACCGCTGGTCCTACTTACTTGCCACCCACCAACAAGCCTCAAACTCCAGCTACTACTCGTGCTACACCAAAACCCACGACCCGTGCTCCAGTAACTACCCGTGCCACACCTAAACCCACTACTCGTGCTCCAGTCACCACTCCCAAGCCTACAACACGTGTGCCAGCTACTTACTTGCCACCCACCAACAAACCACAAACTCCTGCTACAACCCGTGCTACTCCTAAGCCCACTACCCGCGCTCCCGTTACCACTGCGAAGCCAACTAAACCTACATTTGTGCCTTCAACCTACTTGCCACCCACTAACAAACCTCAAACTCCAGCTACAACCCGTGCTACACCAAAACCCACCACCCGTGCTCCCGTCACCACTCCGAAGCCAACCACTCGCGCTCCAGTCACAACTCGTGCCACTCCGAAGCCAACCACACCCAAACCATTCGTTCCCTCGACTTACTTACCACCCACTAACAAACCTCAAACTCCAGCTACTACACGTGCTACTCCAAAGCCTACTACCCGTCCTCCAGTAACTACCCGTGCTACACCTAGAACTACCAAGCCCACTTTCGTGCCTTCAACCTACTTGCCACCCACCAACAAGCCACAAACTCCCGCTACTACCCGTGCTACTCCTAAGCCCACTACACGCGCTCCAGTGACCACACCTAAGCCCACTACACGTGTGCCTGCTACCTACTTGCCACCCACCAACAAGCCACAAACTCCAGCTACCACTCGTGCCACACCTAAGCCCACTACTCGTGCTCCAGTGACCACACCTAAGCCCACTACACGTGTGCCAGCTACCTACTTGCCACCCACCAACAAACCTCAAACTCCAGCCACAACCCGTGCCACACCCAAGCCCACTACCCGTGCTCCAGTCACCACCCGTGCCACACCTAAACCCACTACTCGTGCTCCAGTCACTACACCCCGTGTACCCCAAACCCCCGCACCTACTGAGAAATTCGATGGTTACAAATATCCCAAACCAGCAGTTCCCTTCAACTTCTAGATCTAGTTCAGCTATTGTGAATACTGGTGATAAAATTCGTTACTAAGAATAAAAAACCATCACTGCCCTTTTTTTTGTGTAATTTAGCCAAGTTTTATTAATTTTAATTTTAAACAAACTCGAGTAGAGAATGCAGGAGAAACAAAAAAAAAAAATAAAACAAGTAAAACATTTAAGTAATTAGTAGTTGTCTAGGGCTAGATGTATCTAGTCAGTTTATTTTTGTTTATATATGAAAAGGAGAAATTAAAGAAGAAAAATAAAACAAGAAACTCAAAAGTCGTCTCAACGACTTAAAAGAAACGAAATGAATGCTAAACAATGCAATAATTAAGAATTTTTTTTATATTAAATAATTATTAAATCTAAATGCATTTTTTTTTAATGTCTGAGAGAGAAGTAAATGCATTTGAATATTTTAAACTTTTTTTATATATATTTTAATTTTCTTTTGAAATTATATTGTAAGAATACGAATAATATTTTTGGAATTATCTTGGAATTATAACAATAGCTTTCCCAACTGTCCCCACTGTCTTTTTACCAATTATTTATGTAATTAATGTAATTAATAATTTGTAATTTCAAGTTTGTTTTTTTATTATTTTTTTATTTTTTAATTTTTTTTAAATTTAAAATAATGAATCTGAATACTATATTGTACCTTGTATGTACACGATAATAGATTTTTTTTATATTAAATAAAAAAATTTATTTTGTTGCAAAATTTTTAAGAAAAATAATAAAAATAAAATGTCTTTTTATTGATTTGAAAGGGTGTAGTCAAGAGAGGTCAGAGGATGTTAGTAAGAGCATATTTATTCGAGAGAACAGTATGATCAATAATAATTTTACCCCGACTCTGCCTTTGAGCAATGACTTTCCTTTCTCACCTTAATAAAACCACCCCTAAAAACCTCTTTAGAATTTTAACATACCAAATACATCCGCTCTAGTACTTATATGGTAACTATCGGTACCCCTTACCTTAAAAAACCAGGAAGGTTTATATAAAGAGAATGTTTTGTTTTTACCAAAATAACTCTATAGGAAGCTTCATGTAAATTACCACTTTGTTTTGTAGTTATTATTAGCATAGCGGAAGGAAATGTTTTACCAAACAAAATTTGTGTTAAAATTTCTTTCAACATTTACAAAATATATGTATATAACCATTTATTACGAATTGGTATTTTAACACGCAATTAAAGTGTATTGATTTGATTTTTATTATGTGTTTGTTAAGTTTTCTTTGAAATAGGATTTCCTATAAATTCTGAAATATTAAAAAAAAAATATTTGAAATTTTAACCCAATATCGGAAAGATATATTTCATATAATAAATCAAATATTTTAACTTAATTATAGAGGTGAATAGCAAAATATAAAAAAAATAGATTTTATGCTTCAATTAATAGATTATAAGGCAGTATGTGTTAGGGTATCCCATGAATATTTCTTTGTAGCAAACTTTATCTTAAAAAAAACTAAAACAAAACTAGAACAGAACTAGAGCAGAACATAACTAGAAGTTCTAGTCTAGAACAGAACTAGAACATGACTAGAACAGAACTAAAACAGAACAAGAACAGAACTAGAACAGAACTAGAACAGAACTAGAACAGAACTGGAACAGAACTAGAACAGAACTAGAACAGAACTAGAACAGAACTAGAAAGAACTAGAACAGAACTAGAACAGAACTAGACAGAACTAGAACTAGAACAGAACTAGAACAGAACTAGAACAGAACTAGAACAGAACTAGAACAGAACTAGAACAGAACTAGAACAGAACTAGAACAGAACTAGAACAGAACTAGAACAGAACTAGAACAGAACTAGAACAGAACTAGAACAGAACTAGAACAGAACTAGAACAGAACTAGAACAGAACTAGAACTGAACTAGAACTGAACTAGAACAGAACTAGAACAAAACTAAAACAGAACTAGAACAGAACTAGAACAGAACTAGAACAGAACTAGAACAGAACTAGAACATAACTAGAACAGAACTAGAACAGAACTAGAACAGAACTAGAACAGAGCTAGAACAGAACTAGAACAGAGCTAGAACAGAACTAGAACAGAACTAGAACAGAACTAGAACAGAACTAGAAAAGAAGTAGAACAGAACTAGAACAGAACTAGAATAGAACTAGAACAGAACTAGAACTGAACTAGAACTGAACAAGAACTCAACTAGAACTCAACTAGAACTGAACTAGAACTGAATTGAGTATAGATCTGTCCAAAGTATCGATGCCAAAATCAATTATGGGGTTGCGCAGTTCAGATTAGAAGTGTAGTAAGATATGTGGATCTAGTCGACCCAAATTTGAGAAGCGATCGCCACATCTAAAAACACTCCACCGGTAGGATCTGACAGAATTCGATCAATAACCTGGTTTTTCGAACACAAAAACATTGTCGGTTAATTCTACTCTAATCTGTAAGAAAGGGAACAATTTTCTTTCACATAATTACTGCTCTGGAACAGTTATAGGTAGAGAAGGTTAAATGAGCTCAAAACAGGCTTTACTTAGGCGGATTACTCTCTGCCAATATTAGTTCTTGAAGAAACGATAGGGGGTATTCTAAAGAATAAACTAGACAGATTTTGTTGGCATTATGCAATATCCGATATTATTTATTACTTTTTCCTTTACCGATCCTAACTGAAATATTCTAGAAATCGTTAAAATTGTATTTCTAAATGGAATCCCTAATATATTATTTACTGTTGAATTGGCCACTAACGAATACATTTTCATTAAGATTCACATGATCATAAAAATTAACGAAGATTTGTTTTTTACCAACCAATTAATGCAAACCAACAAGAGAATATGAAGATGTTGAAGAATCCAAAAAGTAACAATTACTTTATTTACAACAACTTATTAAAAACATTTAATATTTCTACACACATAAACTAAACCAAAAAACTATTACAAAAACTCCACAAATTATAATTATTAATCATGAAACCTAAAACAAAATTTTTGTTTGTTGTAAAGTGGTTTTTGAAATTGTAATAAACATTGTTGTTGTTATGTTTTTTTATTTGTTTTAAAATTTTATTTTCAACAAAACTTTCTTTTTTCTTTTTTGCTGTGGCTCCCTCTATTCGTTAAGAAAATCTTGGTATTTTGAATGTTTTTAAACATTAATTTAGTTAATTTTCCTGCAGTCTTTAATACAAATCGCAATGAAGCACAAGTCGTGTGGAGTTTTATTAAATTTAAAATTTGGTTAAAATTCAATTAAATTATTTGTTATAGAAAAAAAAGAATTCCTTTTAAAATTTTTTAATAACTATTGTTATCCCTGTTATTTCGTGGTGCAAAAAAAAAAAAACAATTTCCTTTCGTCCGCCTATTATCTTTAATTGCGAAGAACTAAAAGAAAATGTATTATAAAAAATCGAAAACTTCTATAAGACTAGAGACGCGTAAATGTAAAAGTGTGTTTTTTAAAAAGCGAAATTTATTGAAAAGAAAATTGACAATTTGTAAAAATCGTTGTAGTTTATTGAATGTGTGTTTTCTGATTGTAAGTAGAAGAGAATTAGAAAATAAAATAATAATAAAAGTGATAAAGAAAAGGATTAAAGATCTGGTGATCTTATGTGATCGAGACAATTAAAAGTTTTTTTAAAAAATAGAGCTTCTAACTGAGAGTTTCTAACTGATAAATTTATTCTCTATTTAAAAAATGTTGACTGCTTGAACATGGCAATAAACTTTTAAAGCTGATCTTCATTTAAAGAACCTTGACAAGATCAGTCATTCTTTATTAAGATGTGATCTTTCTTTACGAGATCTTACCCTAATATATCCTATATTTTACAAAATCAATAGTAGCTGCGGAATGATGAAAACGATCGTTCCCTTATAAATTTGATCGCTACAAATTCAAAAAGTTTTAAATTTTTGATTTATTTGAGCTTTTACCTCGATCTGTAAAAGTTTTTTAATGGCAATAAACTTTTAAAGCTGATCTTTTTTTAAAGAACCTTGACAAGATCAGTCATTCTTTATTAAGATGTGATCTTTCTTACGATATCTTAAATTTTGAATTTATTTGAGCTTTTACTTTGTCGATCTGTAAAAGCTTTTTAATGGAAATGGCAATAAACATTTAAAGTTGATCTTCTTTTAAAGAACCTTGACAAGATCAGTCATTCTCTATTAAGATGTGATCTTTCTTTACGAGATCTTAACCTAATATGTATCAAGTTTATCTGATAAAATGATCTTACAAAATCAATAGCTGTGGAATGATGAAAACGATCGTTCCTTTATGAATTTGATCGCTACAAATTACAAAAGTTTTAAATTTTGAATTTATTGTAGATTTTACTTTGTTGATCTGTAAAAGTTTTTTAATGAAGTTAGATTAGATATTGGATGATTATAGATCATGGTAGAACATGCTATAGAAGCGACAGATGAGCGTGTGAAATGATTTGAAGAATTGTGATTTTCGGGATTGAGTCTCAAATGAGAGAGTTCGATTCTAGATCATAACATTAGTATCTTTTTGAGAGTATTTTGAGAAACGATCATTTATCGAGAGTAATGATTTACCACTTCAATCGGGATTCGAATTGAGATCAATAAGAAGATCGTACGTAAATTTGATCTAGAAACGATCGTTTCGGGAGAGATTCCCTTTTCAATAAAAGTTTCCTTTATTCTCTACGAAAACTCTGGTGTCTAGACGAACTGCTCTTTTTGCAAAGCAAGCTCAAAAGCTCATCTTTATAATCTTGTTATTTTTCAAAGCTTTATTGGTTCTCAGCGAAAGTTCTAGTGTTGAGTTGAATATTGTTTCTCTTATGGATTGATCGAGATCTTATCGTATAGATCTTACTGCAAATTTGGGGGGAGTTGTTAAGTAGGATATTTGGATTTAGAGAGATGAAGCTTTAACATGAAAGAGATGATAACATACAAATTTTTAAGAAAATTTATTCTTGTCGGGATGTAATGATCATTTTAGCCTTTAGGGGAGTTGTTACGATCAATTACATTATTAACTGATCGATTTTCCGTCAAGTTTAAAGTGTAAGATTCTAGACTTGATTCTCCTCCGGACAAAGCTAAATTTTCGTTGGTTGTCTCTTTTTTAGATATCTCAATCTATGAACAAAGAAATTGGTTAAAATCATTTCAAAATCTATTTCCTGCTTAAGGTCCAGGTCCTTTGACTATCAAGATTTAGATATAGAACTTGTAAATACTACCAAAACATCAGACCAAAGCCTTTCACTGTAGGACGATGTTTAGAGTAGTTTTTTAAAAATGACTTGAAAGCTCAAGATCCCTTAGTTCTAAATAAATTTCTTAAGTTGAGCTTACTTTCTTCCTACTTCTTTAAGATCACTATTCATTACTCATAACCAATTCCTCTTCTTTTCATTATCTCTTTACAGATGTCTCTTGTTATTGTCCAGACCTCAGCAATAACAATTTATCAGAACAGAACAACAACAGCATCGGCAGACACTACAGCCCATGATCAAACGGTAGACAGTAGCAATAATTTGTCACAATTTCAAGCGACAACAAGTGATTTTATAACAACACCAACCAATTCAAAACACTTAAGTGTAAACTACGATCCGCAATTAAATAAAGAGAATCTGACGATAACAAATCATATAATACGTACAAATATAATTGTGGGAACAGAAGGTGGAGGAGTTGGAACAGCAGCTAGTAATTTTAAAGAAAATTTTAGTCAAACAGCAAAAACAACAGATAATATGCGTGCAAAATTGCAACAACTATTACAGCGTGAACATGATGATGAAGAGAAACAACAACTGCAACAAGATCTACAACAGCAAATGCAAGAACAACAACAGCAACTGCAACAGCAGCACAGCCAACAACAGCAACAACAACAACAATATCAACAGTCACAGCATGCAATATTAGCAGGAGAAAATGCCTATTTACTAGAGCGTATAGATGGTAGTATGCATGAACAACCCATATATGGAACATGGAGAGCGAAAGCGAGACGACCTCAAGCACCTCTATTGGCAGCCACAGCAACAACAACTACGACAACAACGGCGGCAGCAACAGCTCACCTACAACCATCTTCATCGATACAAACATTAATGACTGAAATTGATGAAAATCTTTATGGTCGTTTTAATCAGCAACAACATCAACAGCAACAACAACATCAGCAGCATCAACATCATCATTATGAACGTTTACCCAAACGCTCATCGACCATGACACCAGTAAGACGTGAGTTACATGATCAAATTCCCCGACCACCACGTTTAACATCACGTCAGCCTTCAGTGGCCTTGAGGCGACAATTCAGTGATATTCCTTTGACAAATGGCATGATTAGAGATGAATCACGCCCCAAACCTTTTCATTATCCCTTCGAGGGTCCTTTGCCAGAGGAATTTAAGAAAATACAACAATCCGAAAGAGGTATATCAGCAGATACAGATCCTCAAGTTCATAATATTCAGGATATATTGCAAAAGTTAAATTTGGGTTCGGGTGGCAATAAAGTGCCACCCTTAATGATGATGCCTTCGGGTTTGCATATTTCTGGTTCCTTTAAGAATCTCAAATCGAGTGGCATAGGAAACTTTTTCCGCGGTAAACGCAATAAGAAGCAAATACAAATGCAATTTCCCATGCCCATACCCATGCAAATGCTACCGAATCCCTATCAGAGTCCAGTAATAAATCTAATGCAGCAACCCTATCAACAGCGTATAGCCATGGAACAGTTTTATCCCTTTAAGGCTCGTTCACCGGGAGAAATTAATCTCTTGGCCATGCAACAGCAGCAGCAACAACAACAGCAGAAATTCAAAAATCCCCAAATTAAAGGTAAAAAACAAAAGAAGAAGTCAAAAGACAAGAAAAATACTTTGGCCAGCAGTAACTTAATGTTGCAGCAATATCCCTTTGCCACCGCTGCCCCAGAGCTGCTGTACCCCTCAATGTATTCTCCTTTCATGTCCATTAATGTGACACAAGCTCCTCCTCTGCAGATGAGTAAGCGAGTACCTTTCAAAGTTAATTTGGATATATTCCCAGTAATGCCACCCTCCAAGACATTTAAATCCCCAGCAGGTTATGCCATGGATGAGGCTCGCATAGTTTCCACCATGCGTCCACCTACGGTATTAAGAAATCCCTTTATGGAATATCTTACCACACCTTTAACACCCTCAGCAGCAGCAGCTTTAAGTTTCTACAATCCTTACAATCCCAAACAGCCGGTATACAATCCTGTACGATTTCCTTCTGGAGCCCAAAATCCAGTGGCCAACATGGCTCAAACTAACAGCATGCAAATGGTGTATCCCGATCAAATGCACAAATATCTACAACAGCAGCAGCAGCAACAACAAAATCTTTTCACCAACTACCTTAATAATCAGGGACATCAAACTCCCTTTCTACCCATAGATTGTGATCAACCCATACCTTCAGCCTCTTCTGGTGTACAAACATCACCGGGTAGTACGAACAACAATCCCATTATGGTTCATTTAAATGTATTCCCCAAACAAAAGAATACCACACCCATTTCCACAAATCCCTTCTATAATAATGGTCCCCATATACAACGTAATACCATACAAGAGGAAAGTGAATCTTCGCTAAGTCCCATAGAACCCCGACATCAGGGTAGATCACTTAATGACACCGTCTCCACTAAAATCGAACGTAGCGATAGCAGTGACAATTTTCAACAAATTCAACCTATACGAGCCGAAGATGATCTCGTAGATTTTGAACATCCCATTGTAGCGGAAAGTTCCGATGATAACAATGAATTGCCACAGCCGGCTGCCTTGATAGGTGGCAAACCGAATATGGCTGCAGAATCCTCTTCGTCTTCGTTTTATTATGAAAGTCGTCCGAATACTACAATGTCTTCGGGTGGCGATAATAGCAATACAAATTATAATGGTAATAACAATGGCAATATGGAACAAATGGTATCGGAGGCTAGAACAGCTTCACTGTTTCGTTTTCCCGTCGAAGATCTAATACAGTTTCAGGTGCATGATGCTATGTAGGGAATAAAGGGGAGAAGGAAAGGGAAAGTTAAGGGTGGCGTTTAGGAGTTGTAGTATAGTGTGAAGTTGGGGAATTTATTAGTGTTAGAAAATGATCATAAATTGTAAGGAGCAGTAGAGGGGTTCCCAGTTGAGCGGAATTTTGATACCCTCTACTGGACAGAAATTGTTTTTTCGAATTCGTGATTTAAGAATAGATTCGGGCATAAATATACCTTTTAAATTAGCTTCTGTATGAGTGAAAGCGACTTAGTTTAATCCGAGATGCGCTTGAATAAGGACTCAGAAGTTCAGTACTGATCAATCCTTTAGAATAATTTGCTATAGTCTCTGGGTTAAAAAATTATGTTTTTCTGCACCAAAGCAATCGACTATTGAGGACACAACCTCTTCGTATGAATTCTTAATGCATGAATTAGTTTCTATGTTCCGTTCTGTGACGAATCATCTGATTCGGATCTTTCATACCCAACGTTGGACTTACACAGGTATCCGAAAACGAACGAGTTGATTCATCGTGGAACGGAACGTAGAAACTATCTGAGACTTAAGTGACACTTAAATATGTAAGACTAAGAAGGTATAAAGCTGAGAGCGATAAAGTGTGGTAAACTGACTTATAGCAGACCTGTTATACACCTACACAGAGGGAAAAAGAATCACGCCGGGTACCAAATTTACACCAAACTGTTTATAATTTCTCAATACCATCCGTTGTCAAAGTATATTCATATACATATATACATATGTAAGTATGTGACAAACAATCCGTTGCCAATAGTGAGCTTACCACGTTTGTTAACATTTAGACAACGGATGTATATAAAATTTAGATTTCGACAACGAATGGTTGCAATGTTGACAACGATGCGTTGTCACCTTTACATAATGTTGTCGTACGTATGTTTATACTTTGACAACGGATGTTATTGAAAAATTATAAACTCTTTGGTGTCAATTTGGTACCAGGCGTATATATTTCCTTTTCCCTCCGTGTACGTATATTCAGATTTGTCATAGAATCAACATACATTGAACTTTAATTAAGTTTTGTCCACATTCTTGAATGAGACGTATAGACCAGATATTGATAGAAAGGGAGATTGATAAAGGGAAAAAGTTAGGGGACGATGTAAATCTGCTAATTTATGATCCTGACACTATATAAATATATACAAAAAGATCTTTTATTTATTGTTTTTGTTAACATATACATACTAGTATTTTTTAAATAATTTTTTAGATAATAAGTTTTATTGTGCAGCAAACCAAAAAATATATACATATCTTATTGTTATATAAGTCGATAATTAAATCGCTAGATCCGACAAGATCACATAAGTCAAAAACGATTTCTTATAAAAAAAATTGAGGACATTTCTATAAAAATTTATAAGAATATACGTGTAAAATATTGAAAAATTGTTAAGCAAATGCATTATTCTTATCTTTTGTTAATTATTTACTGATTATATTAATATTTTTTTGTTTAAAAAGGCTCTACAAATATCTACACTGTTATTCATGTTTATTATAGGTTTAATAATTTATTATCTCTAGAAGTTTATAACAATAAATTGTTTGGAATATATTTGAAATTATAGTGCGTTTTATTCCCCAAAGAAAAATTTAAGAATTTGTTCTTTAAAAAAATAGTTACAAAACTAGTGTAAACAGAACCACTTCAGTTTGTGGAACAACATTCAGGGAACTAGTGACTTTGACATTATTTTTAGAACTCGTTCTGAGGAACTTCGATGTAATTCTAAAGTATTTCTAAACTTTAGAATCCGCAATAAAAACACCAACTCTTTTTATAACCTACACCACTTTAGTGGGGAGGCTATATTGGGTTTACGCTGATGTTTGTAACATATGTCCTATACCCACCTTAAGGTATAGCAATATCCATGTAAACCTTGTGCGCAAGGCACAGACGCTTTTTTTGGCCTACTGAAAATGGTTATAATCGATCCATTATTTCAGCTAGGCCCCATACAACAGAACCCCCCGAAAAGGGCTTCTGAGCTCATAATTATGTTAAATATACCTGTATATCGATAAAAATCGGCAAAACTAAGTTTTATATACAAGCATTGATGACCCTGCCAAATTTCATAAAGATCAGGCCTCATTTGACCCTAGCTCACATACAAAGTCCCCTTCAGAAAATTACTTAAATGTCCAAAATTAACTTATAGACACAAATATTGCGATGAAATTCAGCACAAATAAATATTATATAAATATATTCACAAAATTTTATCGGGCTTGGTCCATATTTTCCCCTAGCCTCCATATAAAGCCTCTTTAAGAAAATTAGTTTTTCATCCATAAATTGTTTAAATGAATCGGAACAAGGTAATATTGAAGATAAATGCTTTATAATGAAAAATAAATAACATTTAATATTCATAAGTGGTAACATATGGTCGGTCACGCCCGACTATATTTTTTTCTTTATATATTTCATTCAACCGCTGGATTCATGGATTTATTACGAAATTAGTCCGAAAATCGGTTAGTTAGTTAGTTAGTTAGTTAGTTAGTTAGTAGTTAGTTAGTTAGTTAGTTAGTTAGTTAGTTAGTTAGTTAGTTAGTTAGTTAGTTAGTTAGTTAGTTAGTTAGTTAGTTAGTTAGTTAGTTAGTAGTTAGTTAGTTAGTTAGTTAGTAGTTAGTTAGTGTAGTTAGTTAGTTAGTTAGTTAGTTAGTTAGTTAGTAGTTAGTTAGTAGTTAGTTAGTTAGTTTGAAAGGAGGATATTATATCAAATCCGATGAGATACACTTAGGCTATATCGGACCTGTTGTACGCTCCTTTAACAGTGCCTCAGGTGGGAATCGAACCCACCACCTCCGGTGTACCAGACTAGAACACTAACCACTAACCTACCGGAGGCCATAATTAGTTTTCTACCTATTACCCAGAACTAGTTACGGGGTGAAAAATTGAAACAAAATTTTTACAGAAAAAAGAATAGTTTCAAAAGTGACAATTCGAATAAATATCATGGTCCAAAGAAGAACGAGTATAGACTATAATCATGGGTTCCGAAAAAGCTAAAATCGTACATTTCACACAAACAAGTGACAACATTATCAACATGTGTCTGTGCGTTGACATAATCGAATTTGACGCTTTTATGTCTGACCGCACATGAATCAGTTTTCGTTATGGGTTACATATGGTCTGTCAGATATCAGTAGCTTATAATTGATAGGACCCGTTTCATCAAATACTGACCTTAGCGCTAATTATATTTCAATTTTCAATATTTTCTCAATTGGAGCAGTATATGAGTGAGATTTTTAGTGTGAGAAAAATGAGTGATCGCAGAATTGCAGTATTTTCTCAATTGGTGCGTTTTTTAAAGCTCTACCGCCGATTTTAAGGTTCTTATATAAAAATCGATTTTTAGAGAGAAATATGAGTGAACACGGATTTTCACTATTTTATCAATTAAAGCTCTATAGCTTTTTTTATGAATTTTTTGGTGGGAAATATTAGTGATCTTAGAT